TATTCAGAGTAAAAATAAAATCAAACTAACACAATTGTCATATATATAGGTTCAAAAAATAGTGTCGCACCTAAATATAACATTCCAGAGCTGCTTGTCTTTCTTTTTTTCTTCCTTTTTTTTTTCTCTTTTTTGACATTTTATTTATTATATATTTTTTAACAGTACAACTGCTCGTCTTTCTTAACTTGCTTAGACGGCAATTGCTGTGCATGAGAAAAAGGATTTGTGACATGTTTCTTTTTGCGCACGGGCTTTTCAGGTTCGCTAAGGTGCAGGATTGCGCGGTTTATCAAAATATCTTGATAGAATATCATTAGTTTGATAATTGATATTATGATATTTTCTTAACGTTTTGGTGATAACAGAATGATAATATCGAGAAATCATTTTTATCACAATGTGTGCATGTCAAATATCAAAATATCATTATCGTACGAGATTATCATGATAGTTGCTCAATAATTTTCTCTTGCAAATTCTGTAATGGTCACTATCATAATCATTAACTTGAAAATGTGGTAAATTGAGATATCAGTATAAGATAACATAACATAACATAACTTTATTTATACACGGTTTTTCCATCAGTTAATTACGGTTAATGGACTATCTACCTATCTACCTAACTACATTAAAAATTAATAACAACAATTCAATCAAAAAGAAAATAAAAAACTGCTTTTCATGGAGGCCGTGTCTGAAAATTTACTTAAAATCAAGATATTACTTAAAACTGTGGCGACTTAGATTTGAAATCCGTCAGTGAAAATGCTCGTCTTAGGTCTGTAGGTAAGTTGTTCCACAACTGAGCTCTGCTGTACGAAAAACTTCTCTTAAGATAATCAGTCCGAGGTTGTGGAAGAACTAATCTGTCTTCGGTATTCCATAAACGATAAGCACTTACATTGTCACGACATACGAATCTTCATCTCAGATAATTAGGAGTCATACCATGTAGAGGTTTATACATTAGGATAGACTTCTGTTCCAACCTTTGATAATAGAGTCTTCGCCACCCCAGTGCCCCAAACAAATCATCCAAATTACTATCATAGCTCGCAGACTTAAGGGTGCGAGCTGCGCGATTCTGAAGCCTTTGGAGTTGTTCAGAAAGGCTCTTGTTGCAGTTTCCCACACTACGTTGCAATAATCAGAATGTGGTTGGACAAGGCTATTATAAACTTTAATTAAAATATTAAAAGGAGTGGGATGCCGAATTCGTTTAATTGCACCAATGGCACATGCTATCTTCTTAGAAATATTTTCTATATTGCACTCCCAGTTGATATTTTGATCCGTATAAACTCCAACGGATTTAACGGAGACTACTTGTTCTACCGCGTTCTCGTTTATAGTAAGAGAGGGACTTTTCATAAATTGTGATAACTTCTGCCTTGATGCAATAAGCATAAACTCAGTTTTTGTCGTATTTAGGGTAAGCTTGTTAGCACCCATTCGTACGCATTGCTCAGGTCGTGATTGAGGCGATAATTTATATGCTCAGTGTTAGTGCTGGCAAGCGTCAGGCTGGTATCATCCGCGTACATTCTTAGTTCCGAATATGTCAGACAATGTGGTAAGTCATTAATATATATCAAAAACAGAAGAGGTCCCAAAATTTTTCCCTGGGGAACACCACATCTTAGACATTTCGGAGTTGACTTACAAGAATCAATATGACAAATCTGAGTTCGATTATCTAAATAAGAAGCAAACCATTGATAGTTGGACCAACGAAACCCGTAGTATTGCAATTTTCGTAAAAAAATATCGTGATCTACTGTATCAAATGTCTTTTTGAGATCTAAAAAGACGACAGCATTAACAAGGCCACGGTCTATATCCATGGCACAGCTATCTGTAGCTTCGATAAGGGCCGAGAGCGTGCAATGCAAAGAACGAAAACCAGATCGATGGTACGAGAGAAAGTTGTTTTTAGTTAAATAATGATATAGCTGATCGTAGGTTATCCGTTCAAAGACTGGCCACGACTGGAATTACTGATATTGGTCGATAATTCGTCGGATCAGAACGCTTCCCGGGATTTTTAGGAAAAATTTTTTCAGGAAAGATACCCGTCATTAGGGATTGATTAAATATTTGAGTTAGAGATTCCGCCAGTAAATTAGGATATTCCATTAGAAGTTTCGCTGAAATATTATCTAATCCAGTTGCTTTTGCCTTATACAAAGCTTTGATAGCAGTGCAAAAACATGTGTTGATGTCGTTTTTTCAAAAACAAAATTTTTATTAGTTTCAGTAAGAAATTCTTGGAAAGATTTATCAACTTTTGTCACGTTTCTACTAAGGTTTGGCCCGATTTCTGTGAAAAAGGAATTTAGCATTTGTGCTACATCTGTTTGATCTCCAGAACAGATGAAGCAGAAATGCTAAATTCCTTTCAAATCATGAGAATAGCATGGAAAAGTATACTTAAATCAGATTGCAATTTCTTAAAGTTAGAGTCAGGTCATGTAAGTACTACAACGCCAGCCATAACCTTTATCAGGTCTTGGGATAACGATGTCTTTGTTCTTTTTGAGTTTCTTCAGCACTTTAAGTTTCTTCAAGTCATGCATTTAGTGAAGGGTTTGTCACATGCTGGATTTCACTTCTTACCTCATTGGTTTTGCTCTTGTCAAAGCTAATTTAAACGGAAGTGCGTTGCATGAGCCGAGGGCTCGGACACAAAGTAAAGTGAAAAAAACAGCCTGACTACAAATGCTTGTTTCTCCAAGGTCTGCATCCCAGTCCCCGTAGCAAAAAAATAAATAAATAAATAAATAAATGAAGTGTCTTGAATCTTTACGACACTCGTATTTCCTAAATCAATAGCACCAAGCACTCTCAATTTATGGTCGGTTTTGTACCTGTCTCTCGAAGAAAAAAGTTGATCGATTAACCCGCAAGTTGCCTGAACCATATCTATCTACCTATCTTCACAGGAATCTTACTTTAGGAACGCAAAGAATGGTTACACAGGAATGTCTTACGCAGGACTGTTTCGAAATCCCCTATCACCTCAAGTCACTTGGACACGAGGCAAAAATCACATTCTAGTCGAATTCTTATCAAGTTTCAGAAAATGCGAAGGACAGCACTTCATCAAATCATTACGACATAACATAAAGTAGCTCTAAGGAGCCTTTGATTAGGAATTATGGATGATCTTTATTATGATCACTACGGTAGAGTGAGGAAAACTTCGTCATTTAGTATAATGACTAACTCACCATCGGTCTTATGCAAAAACGGGCACAATCGCCAACATTTTTATTATAAATAATTATGTCATAATTACCCAGAGAAAACTACTACTTCTATTTCGATGGAGTCTCCTTAAGTTGACACAGTTAACCCTCGGATGTACAAGGGGGAAGGTGTGGAAAGGATGGATGCCACCCCTCATAAGGTTTCATGGAAATTTTGAAAAGGGGATTTGCTCTTTAATGCTGAAACTTTTAGTAGCTGTTCATTTATCCCTTATGGACATTTTGATATGTGTATTGTGTGTCCATGATCCATGCAGGTGTGTCCAGATTTCGACTTTTTTGAGATAATTTCTCGTTTTTTCCAGTTTCTTAACGCCAAATAACATTAGTATATTTTAATATTATATTAGATATTTGTAGTGATTTTGCATTAAATTATGTTATTTTCTCACTTTTTATTAAGGAAATAGTGAAATCCAAGATGGCGGATCCATGGTTGAGGATCTCTCTGACGTCATATGACATCACGTAATGTCATGACCACAAAAATTATGTCATCTTGTAGAGCAGTCTAAGGGCTTTCTACTTCATATAAACTTATTTAACTCCGCCTTAACATAACGAAAAAGTTACGGGGGATTCCTGCCCCCTCCCCCCATGTACCAAGGTAGGGGTATGAGTTTGTGTGCACATCCGAGGGTTAACTCAACTTAAAAGCAGTGAGTCCACCGCTACTGGTCGAAGGGTAAAAATACTAATCTAATTTTTAATTTTTCCTCACAGGAATAATTCCCCGTCGCCAAAAAATGGCATTTCCAAAAGGAGAACAAATAGGCAAGAAAGTACGTTCGTTGCATGCGTCGTATTTTCAACTCCCTTCTCAATGTTTGGATATCCCAATGAAACACTGTCTCTCGTGTTTGATATATTACATCGAACTTCACATGTGCCGAATCCGATGCATACATCACGTAGAAACGAAAAGAAAAGAAAAGACCCTGGAGCAAATCTCATCGCGCAGTGGTTTGCTGGAAAGAGAAAGAGAAAGACGAGTCAGAAAAGATCCTGCAAGCGTCTGCGAGATGATAAAAAGGTTTCCGGTTAACTACTTCTCGTACTCTGGAGGAGTTCCAGGTAATAGATGTACCGCATTACCTTGGAGATACGTGTTTCTCGTGTATCAACAAACTAATTACCAGTTTACAAATTAATTACCAGAGAAGACCTAAGAGAAAGCTTTATAAATGTACGCGGCTTATACTTTTTATAGCACAAGACAAGCAACACATACACAGGACTGCCTTTGTGCTGCCTCACTAAGGCTCGGCAGATGTTGATTCGAATCACCAACAGATCGATTCGAGATACAATTGTGCAGTAATTTTAACTGGAAATACGTACGGCAAATAGGACTCCTGCTCCATGTAAACGTTTTAAAAATGTAAGTGGCTTATACCATCTAGAGCACAGGACAACCGACAAACACAGGGCTCGAAGTCCGGATAGTATACGGCCTCGTCAAGGTTTGCCAGTAGTACGTCGACCAATCGCTGGGCAAGCCGCTAAAAGTCGTTTTGTGTTATTGCATGCCTTTTTATTGCAATTTGAGCGATTTTTGTTTCATTCATCTAGTCTGCACTACACAGAATTCGCAATTCTCTAATCCCCTTTCGTTCCTGTTTTTGTCTCTTGAATAACCGTTCTTCGTTTTACTTACCTGAGTAACTGAGCTACCATACCTTAAAAAACTGCAAAGAAACGCCAAGAAAAAATACCAAGCAAAAATTGTATTCATCGAATTTATTTGGCGATTGGCTTTTTCTTGATTGATCATATATAATAAGCAGTTCAAATTGTTCGCATTTTGAGTAAAATACTAACAAATCTCATATTCATATTCCTATAGCTATAGCTATGGGTTTATAGGGGCAATAACCCGCTTGGGATGCTGGGAGAACGCTCGAAAAGCTTGTAGATCACTCGCCTGACGGCTCGTTATTTACAAGCTTTTCTCGTGTTCTCCCAACATTTCCGCGTGGGTTATTACTTCTATAAACTCATAGAAAGTGTAGTCTGACTGTTGAATTCTGTGGTTAACATAGTTCACTTTCATTCAAATTAACGTTCATCATCAATTATCAAAATGAATTTATTCTAAATTGCCACTAATCAAATTCGAGTCCTTGCTCTCTAACCTTCGCAAGTAACTCGGTTTCAAATTTTTCGCTCATTTCCGGTGTAAAGTGGGTCTTCCAGTCGCCGACATCACCCTTCCGTAAGTAACTAAGCTCGAGTTTCGGAAACACTTTATAGGTATTCGGGTGTTTAGCCATCTCCTCAAACGAGCATTGGTGTGCAATCCTTTGCATGACTTCTTCAGACAAAGGTTTGCTGAGAAATTCGGCAACAGCTTTGACACTGGATAACAAGTCCTTCGAAAGAAAGAAAGAAAATTAGTTCTAATTAAAACAAAGGCAACAAAAACTACATCAACATTTAATTGTATGTACCCTTCTATAGAAGTTTGTATCGATTTGTATCTACAGTCTACATGTCAGTTACAGTCTATCACGTTTTAGGACGAGCATGTTAGAGTGCACGTTGCTAGCTTATCTCCTATAGCCAAGCGGTTAAGTGTTCAGCCGTCACGTGACATACCTTTTTCAAGTCTTCATACTTTAGAAACAACACGTTAGGATCGTCCCTGTGCTTCCACCATCCAAGAACATGGTCAGTCCACAAATTGTAAACAACTGCGAAATAACGAGAAAACAAAGAAACAAAATGACTAAAATCTTAAAAGTTGTTGTCACTAACTTAAAAATCTTAAAATAGACGTTTCGGCTAAAATACTATAACCTTTTTCAGAGATGAAATGAATGTTAATGGCGTCTAAATGTAAATGAGATGTTTATAAGAATGTAAGGAACTCGCTAGGGATTAATTTAGCATTTTGTAAATGTCTGGAATATGCGCGTGGTCATTAAATGTTGCTCATAAACCCGTCAAGACGGTTGGTTCGATCCTGAAGAAACCGAAGGACAAATTTGATCAAGACCTGTCAACTGGTGTCGTGTATAAATCAATTGTAAAAACTGTGAAAAACTTTACATCGGTCAAACATCCAGAGCACTGAGATCCAGAACAAAAGAACATAAAAGAGCCGTCCTCACATGTGNTAGATCGAACGCGCAAGTAGAGTGATTTTGGTTACTCGTAAGATAGTTGCCACAGGCTAGCTGAGCTCCCCAGATGGCTGGCTATTCATACGGTGCTGGGGATTAAATCATAAAATTAACGCAGCAAGCACTCACGTCTTCCTTGAAGAAATAACTTCAGGCATAGATCCCACGTGAACTCGCCCATTTCAGGAAAAAATAACAAGAAGTGGTAGATGGAAACTGCAGCATCTTTAGGATTTCTTGCGATGTAAATGTACTTGCAAGTCGTGGTGTCGTCTTTGCCTTTGGGAATCACGTCATAAGGCAGATGTGTTGACAACAGACGGGGCCTGGGGAGAAGCTCGATGACGGGCTTGGAGTCTGGTGACGACTCAGGATTGTCAGGTTCACGCTTGCGCAGTACAGGATGATTTTCGAACCAGAAAACTCGACTTCCAATATTTTCTTCGCTGACAGCGCCATCGTTGTGAATCTGCCATAACAGCTCTCGCATCCAGGTCGTTCCTGCCAATAAGAAACAGGTTTGATGTTTCACCGTCTTGATCACGAAAGGTGCACTACAAAAAAAGCTTATCGAAAGAATATCGAAACCATTGCCTCATACTAGACCATGCTCAGCTTAATTTTGCAACCCTATTCTAGACTAGGTACCAAAACCCTTACCCTATCTCAGACTAGCTATTTTCCATGCAGAAACTTGTCATTGTCGTAGTCCAACGTACGCTAACTAAACCAGTATTTTACAAAGCCACTTCCGAGTTTCAATATTCTATTGCCGGGATCCTTGATATAGAACCTCGATTTAGATTAAACGTTCATACACTGACCACTAGCTTTTCCGATAAATTATACCCTATTCTTGATCAAAACTGTCTGATTTCTATACCCTGTTTCACAATTGGTATCTACTGAATGGGTAGACCGAGCGCGAGAAAAATTTTGGCTCCGCACGGAGATGTCGATTTAGGCCCCGTGCAGAAAACGAAGGTTTCACTCGGAAAAGGCGTCAAATGCTTTCCGTCTACACCAGTGGCGGATCGACCTTGGGCTAAGAGGGGTGGGGTGGGAGGTTTGTTTTGTTTGCCCTGCCGGCTTTTCTTCCTTCTGTGATTTTTTATTTTTTCACCTAAAATAAGGTGGAGGGGGGGACCTGGGCACCCAGGCCCCTACCCTGGAACCGGCACTGCACACTATGCCGGAGAAATTTAAAAAAGCAAAAACCACCAGTCATTTTGGATTTGTTTTTGATGATGAAAACTCGAGCAGGGAAATCACATTATTGTGACGCCATCGTTTTTGAAAAGCAATCAGTTTGTGGCGAGTGTCAAGATTAAGATTGCGACAGTAGAATATCCCCCCTCAACCCCCCAAGAAAAAGAAAGGATTTGAGCCCGAAAAAAAAACTGCAGAGGCAGTGGACGTGAAAAAAAACAAAAAGAATCCTGCAAGCTGAAAAAGTCCCAACTTCCCCTCCCCCCTCCCGTCACTTTTCTAATGGTCCGTCCCTTATAGAAAGAAATCTGTTGGCGTCTTTGTCGTGTCAGAAATGCATCTCGGGATGACATGACTGACATTTCAGGAGGGGGTGAATAGTTTTTCGGATTGACGGATTTGGCCTTAAAAGTGCACGGATTGTGGATCTCTTGCGGTAAATCGAACGGATTCGCGGATTTGGAAACACAGTGGATCGTGGATTAGCTGTGAATTTTGGCGCGGATTCCGGATTGTGCCTGTCTTGAATGTTCCTAAACGAAATTTGGATCATAGATCTTTCTTCAGCCTTGGTCGGTATGTTAAAAAGTTCATCCAAATTATTTCTTTTTTCGAACGAAGCTCATTAAATTCAGGTGTGAGACTGTTATTGGAATTGTACTGTGTTATAGTCACCAAGCATGTTGCCTTCTTTACTATTTGTGCGAAATTAACAATGGCATTCACATTTACCAGTTTGCCTTTGAAGTTTTCCACTTCTTTTTCCGGATGTGGTTGTGGTTTCGGATTTCAACAAAAATTTTGGCGGATCGATGGCTTTGGCTAAAATGAAAAAGGCACGGATTGGCGAATTTACATGCCATTTACCCCCCCCCCCGCCCCCTTTTAGGTGACCTACGATCAAGTGTTCTCTTTTGA